GACAATGGAGGCCCAGGTAGCAGCCACTGCCAAGGTGGCCTTTTATCATCTGCGGCTGGCCCGGCAGTTGGTCCCCTACCTTGATCGTGAAGACCTGGCCACTGTGATCCACGCGACGGTCACCTCAAGGCTTGACTACTGTAACGCTCTCTACTTAGGGCTGCCTCTGTCGCAAATCCGGAAGCTGCAGCTAGTGCAGAATGCTGCGGCCAGGCTGTTGTTGTGCCTCTCTAGGTGAGACCATATTTGGCCTGGGCTGCAAGCGCGCACTGGCTGCCAATAGCATACTGGATTCACTTCAAAGTGCTGGTTCTTACCTTTAAAGCCCTGAATGGCCAGGGTGCGGCCTACCTGAAGGACCGTCTCTTCCCATATGTTCCCCCAAGAGCCCTATGATCGGGGAACCTCCATCTCCTAGTAGTTCCAGGCCCCCGAGAGATTAAGTTTGCCCCTACTAGGGCCAGGGCATTTTTGGTGGTGGCTCCTACCTGGTGGAATGAGCTCCCAGAGGAGATCCGGGCCCTGTGGGACCTTATGCAGTTCCGCAGGGCCTGCAAGACAGAGCTCTTCCGCCAGGCGTTCGAGTAGGAGCCGCCGCCGCCACTACCCTACCACCGAGGTGGTGTGCCATTGGCTGCCCTACTAAAGGGGGGAAAGCATGGCCTGGCTGAAGTATAGAGACAGCGTAGCGGGAGACCGGGCTACTGAGAGAGCTGGCCGCCAAATTTGGATGGTTGTTCCCATCTTGGACGATTAATATAGGTACAGCACCATGTTATAGGAAAGTTTTACTGTGGTTTAAATGTTGTATTTTATTATATGTTTTATTGTATTTTATATCTCGGCTTTGCCGCATGTGAGCTGCCCTGAACCTTTGGGAGGGCGGGATAGAAATTGAATAAATAAATACATAAATAAAATTATTATGTTCATCAAAAGGCTCATTTACATTTCCAAATTACATAACCTTAATCAACACTAAAACCAGCAATCCCATGTAACTCTCTTCCACTAGTATCTCACAATACTTTGTGGAGTGGACCACATCCCTGAGGTGTACCTCCCCCTATCCTAATTATTAAATTTATAACAGGGCTTGTTACTTACCTGTACAGCCACCACTGATAGAACCTCAACAGAGATTCTGTTAAACTCATCAAAACAGCCCCAAGCACCAGTCTGAGAAAGACCTTTGTAAATGTTCCCACAAGACTGCAACGGAAAGAAATGATTAGTGCAATTACCCCCAGAATTTGTTTCAGTAAAACAGGCATCACTCATTTCCAGTCTCATAAGCTATCTGAGGAGCACTGCAGACACTAGTTAAAGAGCAAAGGGACCAATGGCAGAATGAAAATGACAACAAGAAACCAATTTACTTTGTTCACTGTCATTATACATGCGCAACATTCTTTGGAGAATACTGGTGCTGGTCTACCGGCAGTCTGGCTTCCTGGGTCAGCTATGAGCCACAACAGATGACTGAAAAATGCTATGAAGAAGAACCATCTAGACTGTGCAGTAGGTAGCTGTGATTCCAAACAACATGATAGGATCACCAGTGAATCACAGGAGCACTGCAGGAGGGTTACATGGTTTCCAGCAGTGTGTGCTGACTCCAGTGTTGCAAAAGAGCCTAAGGCAGTTTCATCTCTTGGTCCAGGTGCTTAAAATAACTCCCTCACAAAATCATAATTCCATTTGTGAATCCTGAAAACATTTCAGAGGTTTGGGGGCTACTTTCTTAAAAGCAAAGAAGTGAACTTGAGAACATCAATAGTCACTTTTAATTACTCTATTAACTAATATTGAGCAAGGAAGGAAAAGGGTCCAGGACAATCAATCTGACCTGAGGACAAATATTAATTATCATGAGCAGTAACCCACACTGTCCCAGAGCAAGTTAGAGCCCATTCATTTCAACACAGTTTGTGCTGAAAAACTGCCCCAAAAGGGGATGGAAAAGAAAATGACTGAGAAAGAAATCAATAGATCATTTATCAAAATCAATCATAAAATCATTTTCTGAACAAACTAGGTAGGAGTTCAGACATATAATTTAAAAAAATTATAGTTGTGTACAATGCTTCCTCTAAGCTATGGAGTCTTGTGAGTAAAAATTCTACTTTGTGAGCTACTGGTGTTAAAGTTGTGAGAGAGTGATTTGGCTACTGCATAAATTACTTTGCCCTGGAGCCATCCTTCCTGAGCTAAGACAAAAATGTGTGAGCCAGAGGCTAAAAAACTGTGAGCTAGCTCACACTAACTCATCTTAGAGAGAACACTGGTTGTGTGTATGTTTAGAGTTCTAGTCCTTCCCATTTCAATTTGCTATGTCTTAAACCTTAGGTAAGTTAGCACCATTTTCCTCTGCCTAGATGTGTCCAGACACATATTCATTCTGAAGAGGTTCTGAGCCAGTTACCTTGTAGTCCATTTGCTCTGAACAGTTGAACACATACACCATGATGCCCAGAGCTCGACCCAGATCTTTGGTGGTCTCAGTCTTTCCAGTTCCAGCTGGCCCTGCAGGAGCCCCACTCATAGTCAAGTGCAAAGACTGAGTGAGAGTAATATAGCATCTTCCATGTACGGAGAGGGAGAAGAGAGAGAAGTAAATATTGGCCAAATGCAGACACTCTGATTCACGCTCAATGACCACATTAAATGACATGAAGGACTTTGATAGCCCACCAATGTCTCCTCAAAATTGCTGGACAGAAAATAATACAGAGATTCCATACTGAACAGGGGGTGCTGAGATATAACTGGATGATGATGATGATGGGGCATGGGCTGCTCCATTTACAGCCTCTGAGAGACATAAGGAGTCCCCCAGCAGCCACATCAGCTATCCAGCTCTCTATGCTGTGGAAGGTGAGATTTGAAATTTCAGAAAGCATTTTCCATAGACATGAGCTGCACATAACAGGCTTCGGAAGCAGCTTGGTTGATCATGAAGACGTTTCATTGGTGACCTCCCTAATTGTGATGTGCATATGTTTTAAGTGCTGTGAAGTCATTTGTGACCTACAGTGACCCTATGAATTAACTACTTCCAGAACATCCTATCACTAACAGCCGTGCTCAGGTCTTGCTGAGAGCCAAGGCTTCCTTGATTGAGTCAATCCACCCCATGTTGGGTAATGGGGATAGCTTCAGTACAATCACTACAAAACACATGTGGTATGACAGCTTCCCTACAAAATCCTAAGCACATTGTAGCCTCCTGCCACATCTCTTCCTCCTGTCTTTAACAGAAAATGCCTTTGAGCCAGAAAGCATCGGGATCTGAATGGAACCCTCTCCCTACTGAAGCTGTAATACCATCAAGCTTTTGAGAGTTCTGCATCAGAAAGGCCATGTCCCTGCAAAAAGAGACTCTGCAACAATCAACCAAGAAAAGTTCCTCATATGCTAATTTCCTCCCCACCTTCCGGGCACCTACCTGTCTGTGAGAGGAGTGATAACCAGGCGTGGTGTGTTCCCAAGATATTCATAGGAATATAGGAACTGTGCATCACAAATGTTTGCATAACAGTGTTTCTCCTCATCTGCCCACCTGTGCCGGAGTTGTGACAGCCAAAGGAATACTTGTGCATTGTCCACCTTCAAAAGCAGAGCAAAAAAAAATCAAGACATCACCAAGGAAAAAGGAAAAAAGGTATAGAGAAAAAAGTTTCCCACTAAAAGCAATCCCATAATCAAGGACTGCAATTTCTCCAAACTCTCTTCTCAAAGGAGACCACAATTATTGTGAGAGAAACAGTCGGGGGGGGGGTGCTGTTGCTTATTTAATATAACAAACCTTTTGAGCAATCATCTTGGCCACCACGTCTCGAGCATGTACATCAATGGTACAGATGGTCATGATTTTCTGCCTGTCACCCTTTGAGAGATGTCCTATGAGCATGGTGATGAGGGTATTCAGCTGGGTCACCTGCTTCTTGTAATACTCTTTCATGGCATTCTCATAGCCTTCCTCCAAACGGGAAAAGGCAATGCCAACCTCTGTGGTCCACCAAATCTGGGTGCTGGTCAGTGCCACCTTGGAAAGTTTAAAAAAAGAACTCATCATCTTTTGCAAAGTCAGCAATAAAACATGGTTGTACTTACCTGTAACTGATGTTCACTGAGTGGGACAAATGGGACTGCTTCAGAGCAGGCCTGCTGCAGATAAGTTTTCTACAAGCTTCTAGAAGTTACAGCTGGGTGCTCCCCCTCCCGTCAGCACAGCAGAGCTACAAGCTCTGTTCCTGCCCAAATGATCACGTGATGAGGGGTGGAAGAAGCATCCTTCCCTCAGTCCTTTTTCTGACACTGTGGAGATCATGAAGGTGTACAGCCCACAGCAAGGAAGGAGGAAGGGATGTGTGCCTGCACAGAAGACACTCAATGAACATCAGTTACAAGTAAGTGCAAACATGTTTACACCTTCGTGTCCTCTGTGCAGTCCCACATGGGAGATTAGCAAGCTCACTCACCACAGCAGTGGATGTGGGCCGATTAATGAAAGAGAGATCATAACACTGCTTTTCCAACAGCTGCTTCTCTCCTACTACAATATAGTAATATTTGATGAACATTAATGGAGAGGACCAAGTTGTAGCTCTGCAGATCTCCCTGATGTCAAGGTTGAATGAAAAGGCTGCTGAAGAAGTTTTTTCCCCAAAAAAGGGGGGTTACTGTTACATCATTAAATTGTCTAAGTATCTCATACAATATTTAGCTATTTATTTTCTATGTTCCACTTGTATTTTTGTATAAGTCTTTTGCATATAATTAAAAATAAAGTTTTTGTTCCTTCTAAGTTGGTTGTATGTCAATATATTTTATTTATTGTAGTCTTCAATTCATTTGTAAAATCTTGCCCATGTATTTTCAAAACTTGCTTCAGTTTGTCCTCTCAACACTAAAGCTAATTTATCCATTTCTGCAGTCTCAATTTATTTATGATTTCTTCTCTAGATGTTACCTCATCTCTTCTCCAATATTTAGCATACAATATTCTTGCTGTTATCACTACATGGATAATAAGATAGGAATTTTGCTTTTTACAATTTTCTGGTAATATATTCAATAAGAACAATTCTGGTACATACTCTTTAACATTTTTTGTAAAATTTTATGAATCCAAGACCAATATTTCTTAACCCTGTCACACGTCCACCACATATGAAAGAAAGAATCAACATTTTTTTACATTTCCAACAATGATTTGATAAGTTAGGGTAAAACTCTGATAATTTATCTGGAGTGATATACCATCTATAAAACATTTTATAAATATTTTCTTTATATGAAATTGCTTTAGTAATCCTTTATTTTCTAACATTAATACATACGATTTCTTAATTTCTCATCAGTATACATCAATATCTTATCCATTTCTGTTATTTTTGTATAAAAACCTGTTAGCTTATCCTTGGCATATCTTGATTGTCATTCTACTCTTTCCTACTAAGTTAGGTTGGATTCTTGTTTTTAATGTTTTCTATTGGTTTTAGTTCATTTTTGTTATCCAACAAATCTTCATATCTTATTAATGCGTTTTTTAAAAATAAATTTGGGTTTGTGAAGGCTTCGAGTGGTGAAACCTATAATAGAGAATTCCTAATAAAGTGTTGCTTAAAATATTTGAGAGTATCCACTCTTCCATACCATATAAACGCATGCCAACCTAGTAAAAGTTCATGGTCCTCTAACATTAATAATCTAGTATTTTCAAGTGTAATCCATTCTTTTAACCACATTAATGATGCTGCTCTGTAATACAAAAAGCCAATCTGGTAATGTGAATCCAGCTCTTTCTTTTGCATCTTGTAAAGCTTTAAGTTTTAGTCTCGGTTTCTTGTTTTGCCATATAAATTGTATCATCAATGTGCCCAGTTCTTTAAAATATTTTTTTATTTTGAAGGACTGGAATTGTTTGAAATAAGAAGATCAGTCTTGGTAATATATTCATTTTTATTGTAGCTATTCTTCCCATCAATGATATTTGTAGATTTTTCCATCTTTCCAAATCCTTAATTTCCATTATGAGTTCCATATAGTTATCTTTCACCAAGGAACTACATCTATTTGTTATATTTATTCTTCAATATTTCACCTTTTTATGAACTTCCAGGAAAGGCCGCTGAAGAAGCTTGAGCCCTTGTTGAACATGCTCTTAGGGGAAATGGGCATTCTGAACCTGCTCTAATTGAGGTCATCACCCATCTAGACAGGATTTGTGACAAAACTGCTTCCCCTTTGTTTTGGTCTTTAAAGCAAACAAAGAGATTATTATCTTTCCTGAATGTTGAGGTATGTTCTAAATAAAATAATAATGATCTCCTGACATCTAACGTGTACATTGCTTGTTCTGCTGGGGACTGAGGTTCAGGGGAAAATACTGGTAAAATTATGTCTTGAGACAAATAAAATTGGGAAACCACTTTTGGAGTGAAGTTGAGTGGGACTCAAAACCACTTTATCCATGTGAAATCTAGCAAATGGTGGATCAAACCTGAGCACTCTGATCTAGCCCACCTTGCGTGCTGATGTAATTGCAACTAAGAATGCTGTTTTATAAGATAATCAAGAAAGATCACATGAGGCCATGGGCTTAAATGGTTTGTATATTAATTGAGATAGTACTAGAGACAAACTCCACTGAGGGACTAGGGGTTTGACCAGTGGGTACAAGTGTCACATTCGTCTCTTTTCCGTTCATTTTAGAGTGGGAGCGGTGGAGTTGGGAACCTTCTGTCCGTTATCTCTCTCCTCAGAACTCGGCTAGTCACTCGGAAGAACTCGCTCCAACAAGGTGACGCCGTTTATCAGCCTGAAAGCTCCTCATCAGTGTTTCTGCACAGCTGATTAGGTCTTTGCTTTCAGGCTAACCTCTTCCTCACTGGATGAGATTTCGGACATCTTTATTCCTGTTTAACTTCCAACCCTCCCACTTAAAGCCCCACAGGTTTCCCTTGGCGTCTTTAGCATCTTCTCTGTTTGGGCCGAACTGGTAAGTTCTTCTTCTCAGTGTCTGGTCTCTTCTCCTTCTCGTTGCTGTCTCCACAGTGTCCTGCTGATATTCCTGGCCCTTCCTGTTCCCCAGGTGGTGGTATTGGCCTTTTCCTCCCGTCTTGGTGTGGCTTCCCCTTTCGTAGACAGGGGTTCCTGACATACCCCCCCCGGGAGGACCGATCGAGGGGTCCTGTACATCGCTCGAATCCTCGAACAATCGGGACAGGCAGTCGGCATCGCTGTGTAAGGCACCTGCCCGATGGCGTATGTCGAACCTGAAAGGTAAAAGAGACATATACCACCTTTGAATCCGTGAGTTCACATCACGCATCTTATAGAGCCATTGCAACGGGGCGTGATCGGAGACAACAGTAAATGGGTGGTGACTCAAGTAATAATGAAGAGAGGTTATAGCCCATTTGACCGCCAGTGCCTCTCTCTCTATGGTTGAGTACTTCTTTTCCGCCGTGGACAACTTCCTGCTAAGGAATAACACCGGTCTCTCGGCCTCGTCAATCCTTTGGGCTAGGATTGCTCCCACACCTGTCGCAAGTAATAATGAAGAGAGGTTATAGCCCATTTGACCGCCAGTGCCTCTCTCTCTATGGTTGAGTACTTCTTTTCCGCCGTGGACAACTTCCTGCTAAGGAATAACACCGGTCTCTCGGCCTCGTCAATCCTTTGGGCTAGGATTGCTCCCACACCTGTCGCTGATGCATCCG